CCCATCCTCTCCAGCAGCATTCCTCCTGTCACAGACACAAAGTACAAACTGACAACACAATTCCCTGGTGCAGGCATGGTGTGGTTGCCATCTCATCCAACCCCAGAAATGGTACCCTGCTGAATACTGCCAGTATGATTGCCTAGGATGATCATGCAACTCTTGCTGGGCCAGCTCAGCCCCTCCCTGGACTGCGATCAATGATCAACTTCAGTGATTATGATTGCACACAGATAAGAGATAAAAGAATAGATATGTTCTTTAGGAGTGTGGGGCAACAGATGACTTGATGTAAATGAAGACAGCTCTGATGCACATAGGCACAACACCTGCCGAAATGGCCCATTACCAAGAACGTCTACTAATAGCCAGCTTTGGTTAATTTCTCCTTTGAGCTTCCACTTCTCATGAAGGATAAAATATGGAGATGTGAAATTGTTGCTTGCTTTCATTAGCACAAACAGACAAAAAATTGATAAGTCCAGATGTAAATGAAACAAACACCAGCGCTCTAATCTTCATGCTCCACATATAAAAAAGGGGAACTGTCACTCGGTGGGTGCAGCCCTCTAAAGATGAGGGAGTCTTGATGCTAGCAAAAGAAAAACACAAAAGGGCGCACGCTCCTCGTGCATTACCATATTATTATTATTATACAGTATTTATATGGCGCCAATAGTTTGCTCAGCGCTGTACATTATAATGGGAGACAGTACACGAGACAGTACAATAACAATACAATGCAATACACGAGGGGTTCGAGGGCCCTGCTCCTTGGAGCTTACACTCTAGGAGGGAGGGGATAGTGGTACGGGAGGAATAGCTGTGGGGGATGGAGTGGTAGGAGGAGTGGAGGAGATCGGCAATTAGCTGAGGGCGGGGTAGGCTTCCCTGAAGAGATGGGTTTTCAGGGTGCGCCTAAACAAATTAATTAATTAAAAATGTGATAAATGGATACTCCCAAAACGAATGTAAAAAACGAACTTGAAGCCAAATGGGTCAATGTCACACAACTGGAGTTCTGTGATGATGGTGCCCGGTAGGAAAAGCTGAGGCGGCACCATCATCAGAGGACTCCAGTTGTGTGACATTGACCCATTTGGCTTCATGTTCGTTTTTTACATTCGTTTGTGAGTATCCATTTGTCACGTTTTTAATAAATTAATTTGTAACTATGGTAATGTACGAGGAGAGTGCGGCCTTTTGTGTTTTTTCTTTTGCTATAAGTCCAGATGTACTGACATGCAGCCATAACCGACAAAAGCAACCAGCTTCCGTGAACATTTGGCAACATGCTGCACGGTTGTTCTCAGCGGTTTTGGCCACCCTTTGGGTTTTTCGCATGGTTGCATTTTTCTCCAAGCTCCCTATATGAGTGGACTTGTCAGTGAGTTAAAAAGAGATTTAAATCAGGAATTTATCACAAGTACAGATTGGAATGATGATTCTCAGTATGATTTGCTCAAAAGGGTTAGTCCATGTCAAACTGATGCTTCGTTTTTGGTAGATGCGGGAGCGTTAGGCCAAAGATACCAAGTGTGCCTAGTATGTGCACTATACTGAAAGCAATAGTAACAATGTATATAAAAATAGCCTTAGATAGCACATGTAACACAATGTAACTTAATAAAACCAAATCCAAAGAATTAGTCAGTGAATACTTGTCCTTCTTGCAGGTATACAGTAGCTATGTAAAACATTACAAATAAGTGCCTATACTGTTTGAAATGCGGTAATACAGTACAAGATGGTATCAAAAAGTTTTGAGACTAGTTTTGTCACACGCCAACAGATGGCAGCACAAGGCTGCATGCATAGTCACAGGGAGCACCGACCTTCATAAGTCAGTTTGTCAGAAGAGATCATCCTGTGTACATCGGGAGCTGTGCAACTGGTGCTATTCTGGCCATGAACATTGCCATATCAGCTATTTCATCATGGATAGCTAGTTAGAACAATATACAGTCATGGCCGAAATTGTTGGCACCCTTGATATTTCTCCAGGAAATCATGTATTTCTCACGAAACGTATTGCATTAACACATGTTTTGCTATACACATGTTTATTCCCTTTGTGTGTATTGGGACAAAACAAAAAAAGGGAGGAAAGAAAGCAAATTCGATCACACAAACCTCCAAAAATGGGCTGGACAAAAGTATTGGCACCCTTTCACAACTGCGGATAAATAAGAATGTTACAAGCATGCTCCTGTAAACTCACCTGGGGCAAGTAACAGGTGGGGCAATATAGAAATCACACCTGAAAGCAGATAAAAAGGAGAGACGTTCACTTAACCTTTGCATTGTGTGTCTGTCTGTGCCACACTAAGCATGGACAACAGAAAGAGGAGACGAGAACTGTCTGAGGACCTGAGAACCAAAATTGTGGCAAAATATCAACAATCTCAAGGTTACAAGTCCATCTCCAGAGAACTAGATTTGCCTTTGTCCACAGTGCGCAACATTATCAAGAAGTTTGCAACCCATGGCACTGTAGCTAATCTCCCTGGTCTGGACGGATGAGGAAAATTGATGAAAGATTGCAACGCAGAATAGTCCGGATGGTGGATAAGCAGCCCCAAACATGTTCCAAAGACATTCAAGCTGTCCTGCAGGCTCAGGGAGCATCAGTGTCACCGCGAACTATCCGTCGACATTTAAATGAAATGAAACGCTATGGCAGGAGACCCAGGAGGACCCCACTGCTGACACAGAGACATAAAAAAGCAAGACTACAGTTTGCCAAAATGTACTTGAGTAAGCCAAAAGCCTTCTGGGAAAACGTCTTGTGGACAGATGAGACCAAGATAGAGCTTTTCGGTAAAGCACATCATTCACTGTTTTACCGAAAACGGAATGAGGCCTACAAAGAACAAAACACAGTACCTACGGTAAAATATGGTGGAGGTTCAATGATGTTTTGGGGTTGTTTTGCTGCCTCTGGCACTGGGTGCCTTGACTGTGTGCAAGGCATCATGAAATCTGAGGATTACCAAAGGATTTTGGGTCCGCACTGTAGGGCCCAGTGTCAGAAAGCTGGGTTTGCGTCCAAGATCCTGGGTCTTCCAGCAGGACAATGACCCCAAACATACGTCAAAAAGCACTCAGAAATGGATGGCAAAGAAGCGCTGGAGAGTTCTGAAGTGGCCAGCAATGAGCCCAGATCTAAATCCCATTGAACACCTGTGGAGAGATCTTAAAATTGCTGTTGGGAAAAGGTTCTAATAAGAGAGACCTGGAGCTGTTTGCAAAGGAAGAGTGGTCCAAAATTCCGGGTGAGAGGTGTCAGAAGCTTATTGATGGTTATAGGAAGCGACTGATTTCAGTTATGTTTTCCAAAGGGTGTGCAACAAATATTAAGTTAAGGGTGCCAATACTTTTGTCCAGCCCATTTTTGGGGTTTTGTGTGACATTATGTCATATTTGCTTTTCTGCCTCTGTTTTATATTTGTTCCAATACATACAAAGGGAATAAACATGTGTATAGCCATGTGTTAATGCAATACCTTTTTTGTGTGAAATACTTGATTTTCAGGAAAAATATCAAGGGTGCCAACAATTTCGGCCATGACTGTATATCTTATCGGGAGATAAGAGGGGGACACTGGAAGAAGGGGAGGATCAGAGAAGTCAGGATCAAACAGAGTTTTTACACAATGCAGAGGATTAACGCCTTAGGTTCCACAGTGAGTATAACAAGCATGCTTTACTGCATATACAGACTGAGTTGTGGGTTTAGTAACACTTTAAAGCAGAACGGTACCCATAACAACTGAAGGGATCCAGCAGGACTTGAATTGGTTGTAAACCCTTACACCCAGTGAAGTGACTGGCTTCAGGTGATACACAGAGATGAAACAAATACTCCTACATAAGTTGTACCTGTTTATCTACAACCGTCTGTCCCATACATCCATTCAGAGCACAATATTTACACAGGATCTTTCAGCTCTCAGGTGGGAAGCTACAATTGCATCAGGTAGGAGAGTTCTGAGAGCTGATTGAAGGGAAGTGACACACCCCGCTTCACACAGCACATAGATAGAATTGAGGCTGTCAATCACAGGCTGTGCCCTCTCTTGTCACTATTTTTCTCTTTGTGTCTGGAAATCTCATCAGAAGTGACAAGTGCAGGTAGCAGAAGAACAAGGAAGCAGACAGAAATGATAGCACTCTAGATTGAGACAAGTACACACTATAGAGCATGAGTGCTCACTCTGTGGCCCTCCAGCTGTTGCAGAACTACAAGTCCCATGAAGCATTGCAAGGCTGACAGTTACAACCATGACTCCCAAAGACAGAGGCATGATGGGACTTCAGCGACAGCTGGAGGGCCACAGCCTGAGCACCCATGCTATAGAGGGATATGCTTTGTTCATATTTCATGTCTGAGGTTTACAACCCCTTTAAATTTCTGGCTAAATTTCCACTTTAACCACTTGCCCTCCAGAGGATTTATCCCCTTCTGGACCAGGCCATTTTTTGCTACACGGCGCTGCGTTACTTTAACTAACAATTGCGCGGTCATGCAACACTGTACATAAATGAGATTTATGTCCTTTTTCCCACAAATAGAGCTTTCTTTTAGTGGTATTTGATCACTTCTGCATTTTTTGTGCTATAAACAAAAAAAGATCAACAATTTTGAAAGAAACCAAAACAATATTTTTGACCTTTTGCTATAAAACATATCCAATAAAAAAAAATTTAAATCAAATTTTATCAACAATTTAGGCCAAAATGTATTCTGCTACATGTCTTTACTAAAATAAAATCTCAATACGTGTAAGTAATTGGTTTACATGAAAGTTATAGCATCTACAAATGGCGGTATATACACTGCAATTTTTATTTATTTATTTTTACACTAGTAATGGCGGCAATCAGCGACTTATAGCAGGACTGCGGCGGGCATTCTGATACTGGTTGGGCACTGATTTACTGCCACTGACATCCCAATGACATTAATACAGTGATCAGTGCTAATAAAAAGCACTGACACTGTACTAATGACACTGGGCAGGAAGGGGTTAACATCGGGGGCGATCAAAGGGTTAACTGTGTGCTGTTTTACATTATGTGCTGTGTGTGTTTTACTTTAGAGACATGCTGCTTTGTATTTCTCTGCTGTGCAGAGAAATACAAAGCAGCGTGTCCTTGATGGCAAGAGAGAGACCTGTGTTGTTTACACAGAGGTCTCTCCCCTGTCAGCTTTGCCCGACGATCGCTGGGTGACGGCGGGAAATCTCTGATGATTGACATCCCTAGCCGCCAATGGCCGCAAAGGGCAGACCTGGTGATTGACATCCCTAGTCACAAAGGGCAGCGCGTGCCCCCTACCCAGAAATGCAAATCACGTATATGTACATGTACGTAATTTTGCACAGCCTTGCTGTCCTGCAGCAGTACTTCTACTATGGTGGGGCGAGCAAGTGGTTAAATACTGATCAAACTCCACTTCTCTGTGGGGGGGGGGGGGCATATTGCTCAAATGGGTTGTCTACTATAGATTGAATATTCCTCAGAATATCAGAAGCAATCAAGGTGTGTAAGGCTACCATTAAACTTCAAAGTGAAAGGTAAACTTGAATGTAGTATGCAGTAGAACTATCACTTGAGTGTCATAACTCTCATCTCATATGTTTTCTTCTTTTACAGATTTGTAAAGTTGCAAAGGTAAGTAATAATTACATCCGAACTACCATTCAGTTTGATGCATCAGGCCTCCTGACTCTGCACACACAAATCTAGCAGAGATTTATCTGACAGTGCATGAGGATCACTTGAGAATGGTAGGAGTTGACGGGCTTCATGTAGAGGTCTGTGACAATACGAACTTTTCCTTCAAAAGTTTAAAAAAAGGTTCTTCAAACACTTACACTTGCAGCATGTAGTGCCTGAATTATTTATGAATCCTGATGTAGAATTAAAGTACTGAAAAGATGATACCTGTTATTTTCCTGAATCGAAGTACTGGAAATGTATGAATGTACTACAGAATATTACACCTTACTGTACCATGACCTCTGTCAAATGGAATGGGGATTTGTATCCTGTATCCCACATTTTTTCTTTAATTAATATAAATGGAAGATACAAAGCATTAGCCTGCTTCCCCCAGATATGATATTTTTAGTATTGCATTGTCAGCACCCCTGAGTGTACGTTTTAATATTGAAATATTAACAAATGTTCCACAGCTGTTTCCCTTGCAGTAGGATAACAATATTACACAGGTTCTATTTGATTTGCCGGCACTGGATAATGGGAGGAGGTCACTTGTAGTTCAATGGTCCCAGTCATGTTCTGGAGATATTAACTATTGCTTTCCGTCAGTCTTCCAGATTTACAGGGGTGAAGTGCAGGTCAATATTACACTTGGGCAGATGAACCTGATAAGTCACAGAATGGAGAAAGCATTGCATCGCAGTGTTCTGAAGAGCAGGCAGATTGCTTTTTATCAGTGTTCCTTTCATGGATGAGCAGAGAGGTTTGTGCTCACTAGAGAGAAACCGTTACTGGACTCCATGCACGTTTCCTGCACTCTTTACTTGTCTGTATTAAAGAGTAATTTAGAACTAGTGCATGCTGTATGCATTAAAGCCAAACTAAAAAAAAAAATGAGAAAATTCTCCCACAATGTAAGGGTTAACTGCTTGTTTAGGTCTGTAGGGCCAGGGAAAAGTAAATTAACCTACCACTCCTGGAGGCTTCTAGACTGGTCCCAGCAGCCTCTTCTCCCCCATGATGATCGCAAAAAAACAAAGGATTTCTCAGCAATTTTTACCAACCAGCCTGCGAAACAACCAAATTTGGCCCTGTCTAACCGTTTGCGTTAAAAGACAGAGGGTATTGTTTGCGCACATTTGCAAATACATGCATAAGTCACAGTCCCACGTCAAGGGTCCTCTGTATACTGTGGGCCTAACAAAAATTTCCAAACCCTCCATAGTAGGAGCACATGTATCAATGGATAGGTTAAGGGCAGGTGTGCCTGGAGGAGCCAATCGTACCTTAAAGGTACAGAGTCACACGTGACGCCAAGCTAGACTGGTCCCAACAGCCTCTTCTCCCTCATGCTGATCGCAAAAAAACAAAGGATTTCCCAGCAAGGCTTACCAACCAGCCTGCGAAACAACCAAATTTGGCCCTGTCTAACCGTTTGCATTAAACAGTGGGTATTTTTTGCGCACATTTGCAAATACATGCGTAAGCCACAGTCCCACATCAAGGGTCCTCTGTATACTGTGGACCTAACAAAAATTTCTAAATCCTCCATAGTAGGAGCACATGGATCAATGGATAGGTTAAGGGCAGGTGTGCCTGGAGGAGCCCATCCCTCCTTAAAGGTACAGGGACACGTGACGCCCAACTATACCAAAATAACAGCAAAGGCATCCAGTTCGTCCCGCATCCAAATTAACCAACTACGAAAACATTGCATTGTAATGTTCTGAAGAGCAGGCAGATTGCTTTTTATCAATGTTTCTTTCATGGATGAGCAGAGAGGTTTATGCTCACTAGAGAGAAAAATGTTACTGGACCTCATGCGCATTTCCTGCACACTTTATTTGTCCGTATTAAAGAGTAATTTAGAACTACTGCATGTTGTATGCCTTAACACTTAAGCATTAAGGCATCAACTCAAAAAAGCTTGAAAATTCTCCCACAATGTAAGGGTTAACTGCTTGTTTAGGTCTGGAGGGCTGGAAAAAGTAGATTAACATACTACTCCTGGAGACTTCTAGACTGGTCCTAGCAGCCTGTTCTCCCCCATGCTCCTGCTGCCTAAGGTCCTCTGGCATCATGAAGACTAAAGCCGGCCATACACTGGTCGAATTCCAAAATATTTTTCTTTCGAAAATCTTTTCTTAGAATTTTCAGTCGAATTTTGCACCATTAGTGGGCCACAGAAACAGCCGATTTTCATGTCACCATCGAATTTGAGTGATTGCGCATGTTGGAAATTTTTTGAAAAAACAAACGAATTTCAAATCCATGATGGGAGAAATATAAATGAAAAAGTAATAAGCCTGAGCTGTGACCTGGAAAGAAAAGAAAATTCATGGCCACGAAAATTCTTTTCTGTAGCAACATGAGGTGAAATTGAAGGATTGGTTGGTTGAATTTTGAAATCAATGGTGGCACCATCAGATTACAAAACACAAAAAATTCCAATTTTCTAAATAAAATTATTTCAGAATTTGACCCATGTATGGTCTGCATAATGCACAGTCCATAGCATTGAGAGTGAGGCCTCCAAGGTAAAGTCCACCTTCGAAGTATAGGGGAGTGCTGTCTGCTGGGGGAGTTGAATATTCAGTAAGTCTATTTGCTTTTGCCTCCCCTAAACCTAAACAAACATTTAACCCTAGCCTTGCAGGGGCAGCCCCACTGCAAATGAGAATTTTCAGGTTGCCCTGATTTCAGCTTTAAGAAACATGACCCTTTGTAAAGCCTCTATAGTTTATCATGCCATACTGTTTGGTGACAGATGTACTCTTTCCTTTTTAATGCTAACTCTTTTCATCTACAAATTCCTCAATTGATCTCCATTCCTCTAATAGTTAACATACAGGGGATAGACAAAAAAATGGAAACACTACATAATTTGCAGGTGTGAAAGTGACAGCATGTTTTGCATTGAAAGTGGAAGTGATGTAACATTCTTTTGCTTCTGCTGTGTGATGAAACACCTCGCTAACAGGTGGGAAGCTTCACTTTTGTCATTCACGGGACTGAGATTGAGCTCTGTAGTCACTTTAGAAGCAGTTGTTTTCTTATTCTGGGTCACAATCCTGCGCAATGTCCTTTTTTGTTTCTTTTAGTCAGTTTACCATGTCTTTAGCTTATCAGACGATAAGCTTATCTTATGCCGTCATAATCTTTGATACTGTACTTTGTGATACGCAAACAAATTGGCAACTTTAGTCACAGAGGCACCAACTAAAATGGCACCAACAATTTGCCCTCTTTGAAGCTCAGTAATCTCGGACACGACTCTGTATTATTAGCAGTGGATGCAGTGAAACGAAAGTTAGGCTTCCCACCTTTAGCTAGGTGTCTCATCACACAGAGGAAGCAAAAGAATGTTACATCCCTCCTGCTGTCAATGTGAAACATGTCATCAGTTTTACACCTGCAAATCATGTAGTGTTTCCATTTTTTTTGTTCAACACCCTATAACGTTACTAATTCTGCCCAGACTGTCTGCCTTCAGAGTTTTGTGTCTGCAAGCATGCTTGGATTTATGCAAGTACTGGTGTATGCCCACATACAGACATTTACGTCCATGGGGTGGTAGTACGCAGCACCCGTGGGTCCTGGGTGGGGAAATACACCCAAATTTAGGCTTTACAACTAGAGATGGCTAGTTGTATGAGCCTCATGGCACAGTTGGTTGCAGCTTACTGGGAGCCTAGTAATCAATTCTCATTTCAGGTGCAGGAAAAGAAAAGTGTGTTTGCAGAAACGGGCCCACTGCTTTCTGTTTGGAAGCCATGGTCTCTGCAGATGTTTGATAAACCCCCTGCTGAGTCAAAGCCAGAGCTCTCCAATCACCAGCATGAGAACCATAGATTTGCTTCAGCAGGGGGAGAGACCATTGCTTCCACACAGATAGCAAAGGTCCTTTTCCACAGCCTGCTGGCAGGGGGACAGGCTTTCCTACTCTAGCCATGGTTGCTTTCTAAAGAAAATGAACAGTAAGACTTTGATTTCATATACCAGCAATGTATTTTATTTATTTAAATGGAAAGGTCAACTGGGCTTTAATGAATCATGGTAAGGAACGTTGTCTTGTTATAGACATATCATGATGGTGCATCGGTTGGTGCAATGTGAAGGAGAGGAACAAGATTTATTTAAAAAGATCCAGTCACTAAAAGGTATTTGCAATGATCTGAATCTCTACTCTTGCACTGTTACAATAGTGCAGTTTTAATTTTCAGTAAATACATGATATTGAATTACTTATTTATTACTGTCATAGCAGAAGTGATAGGGTGTAAGGCCATCTTATCTTCTGACTGAGCTCAGTGTTGGTAAAACACTTTCAAAAAACATTTATATAACAAAGAAGCTTTCAGGATTACAATATATTTATCCAACAAGATGTATCATGAGTGTACATAATGA